GTAATCTAGTACTGGATAGACTAATCTCACATGTAATTTTTCAGAGGAAAATAAACGTACAGATAATAAGCAAACCACCTACTAGTTTTTCGAAATAATCTCTGGCGACAACTGAATTTATTGGTCAAAAGGTAATTTAAGTTACGCATAATAAATTTGAGGTTTAGAAGGGTATGTTCATCGCCTTGATTCTAAATTGTTACAACTATTCAAGGTATTTTACTGGTCACGGTGTGTAATACCAATATATTGACTGAGCTTTCAAATTTACCCCAGCTTTCACCGTGTCCCCGTAAATATCCATTATGAGTTAGTAGTTAAAACCACTAATTTTTGTAACAGAAAAATGCGGTTAGTCGTCGGAACATGCATTGAATAGCCGGATTGCGGCGGTTGAAACCACGCTTCCATCGCCGCTTCTTCGATACAGTAGAATCTTTTAGCAGTGCACATCGCCAAATATATTATGCGACGCATGCAAGTGAATGTGCCTGGAAACACCGAGAACGAAGATTCCAGCTGAATTTCAAGCAGATCAAGCAAATTAATATTTGCAGCCCAGTGTAATTTGCCCATTTCCTGTAATTTGGTTTCGAGTAAAACACACGGTAGAGGAAAACTCAAAGAGCGCACCGGACCGATGAGTCCAAAAAAAGCGAAATCTGTCGCGAGCTATCAAGGCATTCCAAATAATGTGAGTTAACCACTCTTCGGTTACTCTTAATTTTTCGGTATTCTACGTTATCCTCTCAAAATCGACAACAGGAAGTCAAAAGATACCAATGGACATTGCGTTACTAAATGTTTTCAACAGTGTCAGTCGCATGGGCATCCGTCCAAACCAGATGGACACCAACGTGAGATAATCATAGCATACGGTATGTACGCATTGTTTTAAATAACACTACACACGTTGCTTCCTCCGGGCGAACACACTACAATATAACTAGATCTGTTATGGCGTGTGGGCCGTTGTTGTTAGGCGTTATATGCACAACCGCCTCGGTGGTAACACATCTGATATTTAATCTTCATCTTAAGCAGGATGACATCAGTTTTCACCACCGATGCTTAGCTAACGCACAACCCTGACTTATTTGAAAGCCGTTTTGTGAAGAAAAAATAAAGTTAGGTGAGCAGATTGCTGCCTCACTACAGTCATATCGAGGTGCGTACACCTCTAGACCATCACTTGGGTAACCTGGATGGAATCTGACAACAAGAACGTCACCGACATCGCTTCGCAGGACTATATTGTGGTGTCTCCAACCAAATTCACTGGAGATCACGCGGTAACTCAATCTGGAAGGCGACAGCACTGGATTGTAAGTGGTGTTCCCAGTGATTGCACGTCCACTAGCATGACCTCACTTTTTGTGTGTGTCAAGTGAACATCAAAGGTTTGGGATGACTTTGGTAAGTCAATTTTATAAACAACAGCCCATTCTTTCCCTCGTCAAAGATGAGAAGGATTACTTCCCTATATTTTAGATAGACAAGAATTTAGTCTATTGCTGTTTGAACACTGCGGTTTTGGAGACCTTCGAGCAATCGTTTCATGATTTCATCGGTAACTTATCTGAGGAAGAAAGAAGAGAGTTGGTATGCTTGACGGACCACACTTTGTGTAAGGGAGTTTCTGAAGAGCTCGCGGTATATACGCACACATCAAGAAGTCTGGGGATACACGAATTTCTAGGGTATCCTTTGGTAGGCAAGTGCGTCCAGTGAAACAGATGTCAACTAAGACAAATGCGCATTTTATATCGAAAGCGATACAATTTTGGGCCGCTCATATATATGGCGCTTTTGTAGCACCTGGGGGAGAGCAAAGAATTGGTCAACATAACCTACACCTGGCCGATTTATGCTCTCAATTCAGTGTTTCAATGGCCACCGTGCTGTGACGAAATATGAATGTCGATAAAATTATTGTTATGACCGACGTCAAGCTGTTTTTGTTGTGCTACCTACACCGATTACGTGCCTATTATTTAGAAAAAAGCACTATTATCGACTCCCTCCAGTTGTCGGAGAGACGCCATCACCCAAACGCAAGCAAAAATGTCAGACAAATGCTGACTGAGGACATCACTCCAGCTGTGAACAACGCAGGTAGAAGGTTATCAAAAACAGAGGCAAAATGGCGCTTGAGATCACATATGCAGTCATGAGCCCCTGAGGCCGTGGGTGGTTTGATGCTACGGAGCCCTAAGTCACATGTTTGCACAAGATGGGTGCCAACTGGTAGCCATAGTAGGCGTCGTTCAAAGTATTTGGCCCTCGGTCGAGGCGTTCTTCTTTATTTGAATTTTCCACTTCATTCCAACCCCTGTTGGTTTCGCTCAAGGGTGGTTTCCGGAAGCCGGCCGCACGTACTAGACGAAATAATTATCGGGCGTTACCCGGGATGGAGAGATTAGGAAGAAAAGTATGCGAAAATGAAAGAAGTACCATCGGCGGCGGCCAAATTTTGCTTACTCGTTCACGGAGTATACAACGAATAAGGCCAGCTAGCTGATGATACCACGCAACGTTTGCCATGTCATGAGTTCCCTGTATGTATGCAGTTCATGGTTGTAGGTGTGCTGGACTAATGTTTTGGTTCCAAATCCTAGGCGAGAGGACGATTAAGGCTCTAAACCAAAGTCTGCTGAAAATCCCAAACGCAAGGCTACGCCTTTTGGCGGGAAATGCAAATGTACTACCACTTCTACGGAAAATGTCACCACCGGTATGAACCCCAACGTGGGCAAAGAAGGCTGTCTTTGTCAAAGCTCTAGCCATTGACCGAACTAGTATGAGACAGCATGACTGCCAAGGAGTTACACCCAGTATAGCCCAATGGATCGCTGATATGCACAAACCGTCAGACTACGGAATGATCCAGTCTCTTCGCGACGGATATGATGGCACAAAATAAGGAGCAATAATTCAGTTGGGGATATTATCGTTTCCAACATTATCATCATTATAGTATTTCACATCTTTGGGAAAGGTTAGGTCTACACTCCGGCGTTAAAGTACACCAATACTGAAAGCTTCTAACCCTCATAGATTCTATCGGTGTGGACAAGGTAGGACTGGGACCTCATTTATTGCCATCAGAGGAGGAAGTAAATAAAGTGCACTTTGCTTGAATGTGATTGACAGCAAAAATATACAGCTAGATATTGACTGAGAGATGAGTTCACATGTTGGAGGGGTAGTTCAGGGGCTAGATTGAAACGGTCCGGAGGTCTTCTAAGAAAAAAATTATTTCAAAAGTGATTTTGTTCATAAGCCTTATTATTGAATGTGCTTCTTAAAATTTTAACTGGCAGATCAGATTCGCAAAGTTAATATTTGGCTGGACGGTCGTCAATGCTGACCAGGTTACGCAAACGTTTTGAACTGCTCGAACATTATACGTTTTATAATCCGAGCTAGAAGAATGATATTCCGGTGATTTCCTATATGTTACTGGGCATTTATGATGACAGTTTGTAACGTAGACTCTAAGCTGGTAAGCATGTTTACGTTTTCTACAATACAGCGACATCCTGGGAGATGAATGTGAGAGAATGGAAAACATCGCTGGTTTTGAACATGGGTCATCTACAGAGTGTGGAGAGTCATTGTGTTATTTATTCTGGTGTGTACAAGAACCCATTTTAGAAATATACCCGATTATTTGTGAAACATAAAGTGCATAAGGCTGATTTTTTTAATTTCAGTCCAGTTTTATAGAGTCACATGCAGTACATTCGGCAGCCATTCTTCCTGACTTTTCAACGAGTAGCACAGACAGAACCTGCTCACCGGTTACAGTGTATTGGCGCATTGCCATTACGTTTGGAAACTAGGAAGGTGCATATATAACAATAAAACCACCTACGTAAAAAATGAAAGCACAAAACGCGCCTATTATCCAAATACACCAAAGAAAGCATTTCAAATCCCTAACATAGTGAACTGCCCCAAGCCTTGGTTGGCCAGCTTGTTTCCGAGGGTGATTGTTGCTTCTTTGACATGGACTTATCAAGTCACTTCACGTCGTGAATAACCTTGCGCAGAATGGCGGAACTAATCACTTACAAACCTGATTGTGGATATACAATACAAGCATGTGGTAGAAGAATGAACACAACTGCAGCCCAAGTCATGTTAATTAGATAAAATGGCAGCACATGAACACGTGGCTTGCTTCATGAGTGACGATAAGGTAGCGACCAAATTAGAGATTTTGTTTGCAACCAAAAGGTCGCACATAATGCTAACATCGATTATTGCAAGTTCACAGCGTTAACCAAAGCGGGACAAATGAGCTTTGTGTCAGATCCAATGTCAATTCCGCCATCAATATGCAAATTTCAAACCAGTACTTAACCGCACCAGGTAAGCAGCGGCAGCGACCTGTAGGTCGGTACCCGGTCCATAAATTGCTAGAAACGACAGGACGAAGAAGACTGCACTAAATAAATGTGTTGAACCCAGCTTAATATCACGGAAGATAATTTATGAGTAAAATGCTATGAACCTCGAATGGTGTTGCCTAACCTTTGTGAAAATATAATTTATTAATCTGGGAAGCCATCGTACATCCATAATTTTAGTTATGCGAAATTTGCTTGCTTGAACAAAACCCGTACACATAAGGAGTCCACATTAGTAGTTTCGTGTTCAAAGTTCCATCTTGATGTGGCTGAATATCAACTTCAGATTGCACAATCGAAAATGTTTATTATCGATAATAGAGACAGTTCAACCATGCCTTTGATTTAATACACCACATGTATAATTCTCAAAAACTAACATACCGTCGGTGTCTGTAAGCTCCTCCCGTATATTTTCTGGTATGTTTTCTGTGGATGTTAAAATGCTGTGGTTAATACGCTTGCAACAAAAGTTCTCTTAGAAAACACACAGGCAAAGTGCATGCGCAAATTTATTAACAAATTAGTAT